AGGCAGATGTTCTGTCCTCATCTTCACCGAAACTTTCAGGACTTTAGTTTTAATACTCGTAATTAAATTAGTATCATGTAGTTTGATTAAAATTTTTTTTTTTTAAATGTGGACATAATAAAAACAAAAATGCTATTATTTATCGAGTCTACACAAAAATTTTAATGTATATTTAATATCAATAACTAAAATATATATTGACAATTAGTTTAACAAAATTATCACTTATTTAAAAATTTTTAAATAATAGGAGTTGGGTGACCAAAATATGAACTGTGATTTGTAGATTTAATTTTGTTAAAGTGTTCTCACTACCTAAAATGGATATGAAATATATTCGTAGTTGAACGCAATAACATAATTTTTCGTTTTGTAGTATGTGCGTAGATTGGCTAATATCCATGCACAGATTACAAAACGAAAAAGTATGCTATTGCCTTCAATTGAACGAATATATTTCATATCCATTCTAGGTAGTGAGAACACTGCAAAAAAAAATAAATTCGCCAATCACCGTTCATATTTTGATCAACCGACTGCTATTATTTTTAAAATTTTAAATAAATGACAATTCTGTCAAACTAATTGTCAGTATATTTTTTAGTTATTGAGATTAAACATACAATAAAATAAGTTATTCTTTTGGAAAACGTTAGCATGGATGACTAAAGGGTATTGGGTTAATTAATTCTAAAAGTGTGGTACAAATGTTATTTTTTGTAGCCAATTCTTCAAAATTATTTTAAAATATCTTTTCAATATTGAATATTAGTTCTACAAATTCATCATTTGACAGTTGCAGATTTCCAAATGTATCTGAATTGGCGTTATCATATGCCTTTTAAAAGCAATAAAAAGAAAAATCGTCTAATTCAACGTGCTTTGTTATATTTAAGACAGGTATCGCAGGAGTGGATCTGCAAGGCTTTTATTAAAAGGTAACCACACACATACCTGATAAAATTTTTCTGTAGCAATTCGTCTTTACAATAATTTAGGGTGTTAATAATTTCATCATAAAATAAAATACAAGGTATTCCATTTAAAAAACATACATTTTAATTTTCCAGGCAAAAACGTGACACCCTGTATATCCAAAGATATTTTTAAAATATGTAGGTATTTTTCAAATCCATATAACTTTTATTTAAAACTTTCTTGCGTGTCTACAACAAAATAATGAACAATAACGTACTAATGAGACACCCTGTATAAATTATATTTTTAACAATGAAAATTTCTTATAATGTAGTACTTATCGGTTTGGGTCCTTGGGAAAACTAAAGAATGTTTTCTTGCAGGTATAACCCTTATTAAAACAGCTTTTGACTGCACAAACTCATTCTACTCACAGCTAAAGAGTCACCAAAATAATAACAGTACCTTTAACTCAAACAAAATCAACGAAATTATAGGCTCCACGAAATTATACGCACGACTCAACACCTTGCCTAAGTACGCTTCTGAACGCCAAAACCGTCTTTTCCCTTCGAAGGCGGAGCTTAAGCGATGCGCGACGAAATCGACGCAAACCGTTGCCGCCAAGAGAGTGTTTTAGCTGTATTGTATAAGCTGTGCTATAACTATATATGTATCATTGACCCTGTTAATGACAACTTGACAACAGGGTTGCCATATCTAAACTGTCATTACCCACTGGTAGCCATTTGGACAGGTCGTTGGAATGCCTAATTCAATTATGTGATCCCACCATAATTTGCCCAAATCGGCCAACAGTGTTGCACTTCCGGTCTCCTTGGTGGAACGGATTTTAACGGCCATATGCACCATTGTCCAGCTAAGTCCTTTGTTATCTAACAGTAGTATAAAAAATAACAGTGTGTTAACAGAATTTGCTATGCACCATCTATGTACCATCTATTTACCAGTTTCAGTAAGAAATCAGTCTGTTACGTATATATTACTGTTCATATCCTATAAAACCTTATATAGCCCTTCAAAATAAACAAGTAAAATTAAAATAGTCTGATAAGTAAAATTAACAGGCCAAATTTGGTTTGTTACATTAACAACGCCTTTAACAGATTGTTAGTCGTATTTTGTAATGGTGAATACAAAATTGGTCAATTTAACAGTCAGTTATGTAGTTGACTCTCTGATAACTATTAACAGAAGAATGGTGCATATGGCCGTTAGTATGTTAAATATAGCCTATATCCTATCCAGTAAAATAATATAGATCAGTGGACTAAACCGACAATTCCGGAAGCAGAAGTGGACGATTAAAACGCACCTGATATTTTGCTTGCTGCTGTCAGTGAATATTATTTTTGAAGTCACAGTTTATTGCTAAAGAATCAGTTAGCTCACTCGGACCAGTTGAAAGTTCCAAAATAACATCCACTCCAGGGATACAAATTCAGGATACGCAGAAGACTGCTGTTTTATTATAGACGGTTGTCATGTATTGTATTATCCGAGTTGCACAGTGTATAAACAGAAACATTGAGATCCAAAATGCCGACGCAGAGTGAGCGATCTGATTCTTTAGCTGTAAACTGTCAGAGTTCAAAATGGCCGCGCCCTATGTTGGACGTGTCGGACATCTCTCTTGCCTCGTATAGTAATCAAAATATGTACCTATTAAAAATATTGCGCCAAGATGTAGGCAACACGTAATAAGGGTTCAAAATGGCGGAGTTTTTTTATCTCCTTTTAAAAGGCACTCAGAAAACTGCGCAGTGCGACCATTCTCCATATAGTAAAAGAAAATCAAAGTATGTGGGTTTAGTCCATTATTTTCAATAACCGATAATTTATTTCGATAATCACCCACTCCTAGCGACCAAATGACTTCCAATAGGTTTAAATTTTAAAATGTTATCTGGTTTCAGACATATGCATTTCTATAATTTTATGTGACTCATCCTCTATATTAATTAATATTCCTAAAGAAAGAAGCTTTAATATACCTTTTTCTCAGGTTATAATACTATACAGCATTTTCTCATTTTGATTAATTTTTAATATTATGTAATAGTCGTAGAAAAAATATAATATTCAACTCACAAGGTGTCATTTGCAGTATTCGCCTGCGCATATGCTTTTTTTATAATACTCGTAGACAATGAGTAGCATTTCTTACTTGATTAACAATATTCTATTTCAACATTTTACTGTAGTCTCTTACAGAAAAGTCCATAGTAAATAAACGCTAACGAAATATTCTATAAAAGGTCTTCTGTTTACATAAAATATCGTAGCATCTGTTTGATATTAAAAATTTTTATTTCATAATACAAAATTCCATTAAACATATATTTTAAATAAATCTAATAGTTCATTAGGATGCTAATAAACAAAGTCTGGCCCCTGTCACAGAGTTCGAGTCTCTGCCCAGTTCCCCCACTCCGTTAACCTTTCTTTAGAAATTGGCAACATTTGCGCAGGTTAAACACCGGTGTATGTTATATCTGTGGTCTCTTTTATCTAAGGTTTTTGATAATTTAAACTTTCATTTATATTATTTTACTTCAGTTATATTCTGCAGATACATAGAGCAAATATAATATTTATGTTACAAAATCAAAACACAATTTTAATCTATACTTTTTATTACTCAGGTAATATCGTATTTAAAATATACTAGTTTTGTACAACAAAACATTGTGCCAGTCATGTATATCCAGAAAAAAGGAATTAAAAATACTCAACTACCAGATAAAATATATCACTTGGCGCAAAAAATTAGCTTCAAAAGCATAAAACAACAAAAAATATTATATTTTATATTAATGGATATGAACTGTTATTTTATTCTTCCAGAGTTTTTAAATCGGTATGAACAGATTGTTAAGTTGCTACTTACAAGATCACTTAAGTTAAAGATACATTTGTTCGGAATAAAATATAGACTGGTTAAACGAAAATCCCCGACGTTATCAAATTTAAGCCAATAAAAATCTGGTTGTCACAAAACTGCTGCAAACTGCTTTTGTCATTCCCGTATTTTGTTGACCAGCATTTGGTTTTAATTGCGTAAATCAGTTTTATGTATAAATGTTCGCGAGACAACGTTATCAAATTCCAACTTTCGAGGTTAGAAAAACAAAACATTTGTGACGAAATAGGAAAAATGTGTTTCTATTTAAGTTGCGTGAAACATGCATGGATCTATATGTGGTGTCAATTTAAAAACTTACAATGGGCAATATCTTCTGTTCAAAAGAAAATAAAAAAATCGATGTTGTTTAGGCAATTTTAATATTTTCTTTTGTTCGGGAGATATTTCCCATTGTAAGTTTTGAAATAAATTTTTAAGCAATTGACACATTAAAACGATATTTTTTTCTTCTAGTGTTTAAATTAAAATGTTTAGACAAATATGGATTTTAGTGTCTGTGAAACAATTTTTAATGTCAGAACATGATTGAAACAAAACTGTTGATGTTTAAGAGAGTTTTTTGTTTAAGCCACGATTTGTGCAGTATTGCAAATATGTGAATCATACAAAATTGATGCGTGAAAAAAAAAACGAATTAGAAATTTTATTTACAGAAATATTCGATTTCCTTGATCTCTATAACCTTGTTTAATTACTATTTTTCACATGAACAATTTATTTTATTTTGGTCTCATTCAAATTTAAACTATTTTCCTTTTTCAATTAATTATTTGTTATAAATAACTGAAAGAGTAACTAGCGTTCCATGACTATTTGTTCAGCGATTGCAATGATAGAGAAATCAAACATCTTAAAACTTTTAGGCAAATACAAAAATGTTTATACTGTTATTAGTTTTGAACTCCATCCCACATAACCCAGAGAAACTCTATCCTAACCGTTGGCGTTGAACTCAAACATATTCTGAACGTCACTATTAGTTGTACTAAATCGTCACATTTGTCTCAACAAAAAATTATTAAAACCTTAAAATAAATACTACATAAGGAGAAAATATTACATTAGATAAAATGAAAACATCTGTTTCTTTCTACAACACTGGAATGTACGGGGTTCTCTACAGGTTGTAGTTTTTTTAGCCGAACTGGAAAGAGAATGAATTTGGGAAACCACCTCCAAAGGAAAATTCTTGGCCATGTTGACCGGCCGGTCCGCCACCGCCGCCACCGAAGAAGGTCTGGAACACTTGAGTTGGATCTATATCTTTAACAAAAAAACAGAAAACATTACTCCAAATATGCCAAAATAAATTGGACGGCGTTATGCAGAAAACTACCAACCCACAACATACCAGATATTAGGTTGAGTGCGGATTTGGGTAATAAAATACACGTTCTGCATTCTGTAAGAACCTACCAAGTCTTAGTTAATTATATACTCTATAAAACTATAAAATGCTAGCACATATCCCATAGCTTTCTTAAACGAACAAAAACTTACGAGCCGTTTATCTCAGTTTGCTACTATTGAGGGTTGGTAGCTTTCTGCATAACGCCGTCCAATTATACGTTGAATGTAGAAAATAATGGTAATTTTGTAGTTTTTTTTTAGGACTCGCTTTTATCATTCCGTTGGCATTTTAGAGATAAAATTGTTGTGGACGAAATTGTAGTTTTTTATTTATAGTTTTAAAAGGCACATGTTTTCCAAAAATAAATGAGAGATTTTCAAAAAAAAGTAAAAAAGTTTTCAAAAGTAAAATTTCTTAAAAGAATATTTATTTTTTGTTGTATCCTGTTAGGCACAATAAATTTTTGAATTTTTAAAAATATAATGTAAATGTATTGTTGTTGATTAGTGATGTAAAGGGGAAAACGTTTCCTTCGTGCTGTGGGGGAACGTTCGCGCACGATAAGTCGTTCGTGCGCGCATGTTAGATCGTTCATACTCGCACAAACGATCTATCGTGAGCGAACGTTCCCATGACAATTTTCAGTAACATCTCAGCTAGGTAGTAAAATCTCCCTTTTTATTTTGGTATTTTATTTAGTTAACACATTTGATTCGTTGGGTAAAGAACAGCGTGTGGTTATATTAAATTAGTGTTAAATTTTTTCCAAAAAGAAGTGAGAAAAATCTGATTCTAAAGACTGAAATGCAATTTTGGAAATATGAAATTATATACGAAATTATGAAACATAGACCATCATATCCCTAAAGTGAAAGAAATCAAAGAAAAATTGACAAAGCTGAGAAATAAAGAAAAGAAAAAACAGGATTGCATCGAACGGTGATCGGACCTGATACCTTCACACTAGAGCCGCCGGCGCCTCTTCTAGTTGGGCTATCGAAGCACATTGCTGCGACAGTCGAACTCATAGATTTAAAATCAATCAGATTCCAATTCTACCCAGGCCGCACACATTGGTATAATTAACGTATTTTATACGTAATTCTCGTTTATATTTGGTATTGGTTGATTCCGTATACGTTTACAGTTTACGATTATTACATACCGTTCTTTAAATGATATATTATACTTTTTTTGATACGTCCTATGGTATATAATTGTAAATTATTCTACATTTAAATATAGTTAACAATATAGGACTATTTTCAGTTTGCGATGAATGACTTGTAGACAGTGTGCCTAAATATACGTTTAGTTTTATTTAAATTAAATTCGTATAAATTAATGTAATATTATAATATATATTTTCGGAAAGAACCGCGAAAAGTAAGTTTTTGAATACTTTACCACATAAATTTGAGTTTTTTCATTTATGCTCGTTTAATCTCGTTTGTGCTTGGGGAATGTTCATCAAAAATAGGTGCTCGAGAATTTTACATCACTAGTTGTGATAGTGAAAGAACAAGAGCTAATAATTGAACTTCTTAAAGAAAAAAATACAACAAAATAAACATCTGCTAATATCCTAAAAAGTGATAAAGTGAAATCATCTACTATCTTCCTATTACAGCAGCACCTACTCTGATTATTAAGCTATTTAAAAATCAGCTTGTAGACAAAACCAAACAAGAAATAATAAATATGGTTATGCCTACCACACCCTAGAATAGGAATTAAAAAATTTAAAAGAAACTAAACAAGGTGATATAAGATATCAAACTAAAGGACAAATTCAAAGTCAATACTCTGCCAACGTTCCAAGCCTAGATTAAAAATAGTAGGATTCACTGTTTTGACGAAATAGTGCTCTTTATTATTTTATGATTTTGATATATTTGAATTTTCGTGCTACATGCACTGAGCAGTCGCAAGAAGTGGAATCCACTTCTCCTAAGAACGTTGTTGCACAAAGAAGTGCTATGTGGTGTTTTACCCTCTTAATTACCTGTCTTGAAATTAGTGCTCAAGATTCGAAGATTCTACCTAAGCTACTGCATTCGACACCAAGATAAGACTTGCATTCTTAATAAGATCACAATCAATTTTTTACATTGTGGGAAAAAGTTTTTTTATCTCTCTATTTGTTCAGCTATCATCAACATACTGGAAAGGACAATGACAATGAAATTGATAGCAATATAAGAAATAAAACAAATGGGTACAAGAAAGTGACAAAATAAAAGTTGTATACAGGGTGTAATTGTTCAAATAAGTTATATGGATTGAAAAAATACGTATTCTAAATGTAGTTTCTTTAATTTATTTATAGTTTATTTATTTAAAACACATTACTCATAATCTATTTATTTAAAACACTTTACTTATAATTTATTTATATAATACATAGAGCCGATCTTTTCACCTCTGAGTAAAGTTACATGTAGGTTTACTTGACAGATTAATGAATAATAGCCCTATAGTTTAATCAGCAAGTAGTTACTTTCAACATTACTCAGAGGTGAAAAGATTGGCCCTAAGGCACTATTATAACTCACAATTCTAATTTATTACTATTTGTCTTTACTATTCAACACTTAAATTGAATCTTCCCGTCCATCGACAAATTCCCTGCACTAGAACACTCTCTGGAACTCCCTCTCTATGACTCAGACGCCACACAGCGATCTATTCGGAAGCTTCTCGAAGCGGAGCGTTTGTCTCTATATGGCTAGCCCTAGACTTCCTGTCACGAGTACGGTAATAAAGAACAGGGTTGGCTTACGCGACATAAAAATATTTGGATATACAGGATGTAGCGTTTTTGCCTAGCAAATAAAAATATATATTTTTTAAATTAAACACCCTGTATTTAATTTCAGTTTTAGAATGGCTTGGTAATACTGTATTCAACCCTAGATTTTTTTAAATATGGATTGAGAAGCAATTAATTTCTTTATGAAATTAGAGACCCAAAATTAAATTATCATAATTTAGGTAGGTTTACAATGATTTAAAAATTGTTTAAAATACAGACTTAAGATAGTAAGCTAACGAATAGTATTGATAGAACTGGTTTATTTATACAGCTAAAATAATGGAAACTGGGCGTATTTATATGCATATATTCCATCGTTCCATCTCTCGAACATGTGATTATTTCTAGAAGTACTTAAAAAGTTCCTTTAAAAATTGCAATTTTGTATAATTCATCGAAATGTCGAAAATTTTCTGGAATGGCCCATCCACCAAAATTTAGAAGTCGCGATGTTTTACGACGACTGACCAAGTCTACTACCATGGTCATTAGGGAGCGAGGGATTTTCAAGGTTGATCTACTTCATTGAATATTCTTGGTAAACAGTAAAATGGCGTCATAAAAGGCTCAAATAAGGCAGGGACTTAAAGGATTAGAGCAGGACCGGGAGCGTCGAAACTGGCTTGCACAGATAAACTTGATATTTTAGGAATTTCTATATTAAACTTTTTTTGAGAATTTCTCATTTAACCACAGGACGATTTTTGGTCAGCCTATGCCATTTAAAATTATAAATCAAAAACTATAAATTCCACCACTCAAACAACTTTATCTATAAAATGCCAAAGAAAATATTAAGGATGATAATTTACCTCTCCATCTCCGTTGCTTTTACTATTAGGGACAAGTGTTTTGATTTAATAATGGGTATTACTCGTATGAAAAGGAAATATTATAAATAACAAATATCGAAAATATATGGTAAAAATAAACCAAACAATTTTTGTCTCTAAAAAAATCTGACATCTATTTTAAAAAATATCACTTAATAACTTTTCAAACTAAATTTTAATGAATAGGAAATGAGGAAGGTCAACACAATAATTTTTCTATGGCTTTATTACCAATAATTACTATTAAAAATGAGATGTGTTGTACATCAGTAAAACATTAGTTAATTTCCGTGAAGTTAGTACTGCCACTTTGGAAATTTGAATAACTTGTCGCTTTTTTGTCATAATTTGTCTTCAAAAAAGAAAATTTTTGTTAACGATAGCAGAAGGTCCTAATTATAATTTTCATATTTTTCAGTGTTAATTTCATTAACTTCTATAAAAAATGTTTAAAATACTTACCTGACATGCCCCCATCAAAATCATCCATGTCTTGACCATTATCGTACCGAGCTTTCTTCTTTGGATCGGAAAGCACTCCATATGCCTCACCAACTTCTTTGAATTTTTTTTCTTGGTCTTTCTTTTCGTTTTCCGTGGCATTTGCATGTCTATCAGGATGATGGACAAGAGCTCTCTTTTTATATGCCTTTTTGATTTCATCTTCGCCGGCGTTTCGATCTACTCCGAGTATTTTATAGTAGTCTTTTCTTTTTGATCTTTTTAGGGCAAGTTTGGCATCTTGTAACAGTTTTTTATTTTCTCTGAAATTTAATAAAGTAAAAACCTTAAATTCCCGAATATTTGGTTAACTTTTTTAAATGTAAATATGTTATACAATAGTATATTCTTTACCAAGCAAGGAATGGTACTCATTTCCTATAAGTAAGATATTAATGGGTTTTGTATTATAGCCATAGAAAAAAAATATTTATATGAACCCAAACCTGCAGGAGCAAGAGAATAATTTCGAAAACGGCATATATATTTCGACATAATACCCACATAGTACTGGTTTATATACATATTGCTATCATTATTGAGACCATTCATTGATTCTTGTATCCATGACGTTATTGAGTCTGTATATCCGACGAAATAAAGGCAACCCATGTAAATAATAATTTCCAGCCTTTTTTTAGCCAAGTTTTGCTTAAATACTTATGCAAATCAGTGAAGATTGCCATCCTTAATTTAAATAATAATCCAAGTTTGTGAATATTCAAGAGGATAAGAGAGGTTTTAACGGATTTTGAATTTGAAGTGGACGCAACAACATGCCCACTTTGAAAGAATATATACAATTTCAGTTCAGCCAAATTCTGATAAAGGCGCTGAAGCAATATACATTACATATTTAAGTATATTAATTATACTTTTGGTATGTTATTGCGTCTATAAATCTAACAACGTCAAAATATTTTTATAGATTACATGAAATAAAATTTTATATTTTGTTTCGTTTCTCTTTGTGTGCAAGTGGGTATTATGTAATTGTACGGTCTGGGGTTGTTACTGATTCCATACTACTTCCTGATATGACTGCAAAAAGTGGAACGTCGTGTTTTTTGCTTGCTATTTGTAGTTAGGTATACTGCCGTGTTAGTTGAATTATGGTTGATATTTATGATTTTTAACTAAAAAAACATATTGCCCTTCAGACATTTTTTATGTAACAGTTATTGTCCATTCAGCCTCTTAAAATAGTGTTACTAACGGTGATTGAGATAAAAATTTATGAAAGGACATTCCCCAGCAAACATTTTCGATATTATTAGCTATAACTAGACTTGTTAAAAGTTAAATCTACTTATCGAGGTAATTATTACGTAAAATTGACTAGAAAAATATACCTGTACTTTAAATTTACCAAATAGTTCTAATTTATGTATAAATTTACGTAAATTATACCAAGAAATCTACCTCGTACACATATCTGCTTAAAAGTAACTTTAACCAAATCAGAAAGGGGAAAACTACTAACAAAAATAACCAAAAATTACATCAAAGGTAAATTTCCTTTAAAGTAAAATTAGGTATCATAATTAGAAAACATCTACCTGTTTGGCAACTATAAATCGTCTTTATAGTAGAATATCCTACTAGGTAGATTTGGTTGAACATTTTTCGTAACTTTATACCTATATAGTAACCTATTTGGATGCTTTATTTACTCTACTTTAAAGTAATATTAGGTCGATATTGTAGAAAAATTATACCTTGTTTTTCTACTTAATTTCAACCAAATAGTCGATTACTCATTTAGTTGACTTAAAAGTCATCCTGAATAAATAAATATTAACTTTATTGTAGCAATTACCTGAAAAATCTACTACAAGGTAATTTCGACTATAAACCACCAATTTAAAACCTGCCATACATAACCTATTTATAAAATTTATATTATTTAGGTTATTTTAACAATTAGGTTGTTCATTTATTGTCTTCGTCATTATTCTTAAGAATTTCGGGCATTTTAAAAAACCGTTACAATGGTAAACTTAATTCTCTTGCCGTATAGATAGAGCTATAAATAAATGCAAAAAGTAATAAATAATATAGATACTTTCGATTTTGTAAAGTGCAGTATAACGTGAAAAATAAACAAATTACTCCAGTATCCAGTAAATTGATTTGTCAACACACGTTAAATAAAATTTTTACCTACAGGTAAATTTTTGATAAAACTTACAAGTTAATAATTCTTTAAATAGGTAAAGTTAACTAACATGTCGTTATCTTTAAGGTAATTCAACTTAGTCAAAAGCTATTTGTAAAATACGTATATTTCCATAGTCGTATTAACTTTTAAGTCGAATTAGCACAATACGCCATATTTTCTTAACATAATTGAAGTACGATTCCAAATTTTAAATTTTTTAAATTAACTTAACTAGAAAAGAACGGATGAAAATTACAAAAAAAAAAAACATTATTGATTTTCTAAAGTGACACACAACAAATAGTTTTAGCTCATAATATTATTATAATTTCTTTTCATCATAATATTTCTTCATGTGTTTTTACTGGCTGAATGGCAAGTGCCCAAGCAAAAAAAAATTCATATGTTTTCATTTTAACAAACGTAACCTATTGCTTCGTCGTAATTAAATAGCATATATATTTTTGTTACCGTCATTTATTTATTTTCAATCGTTGCTGTGAATTAAGTATATGTTTTAGTTGTGTTGCGTCACTTCCGACAGTATTTCGACTTCTATAGATAAAAATACCAAATAAGTATAAAATTTATCTTTTTGTGCACTTGAAGTCATTCGTCATCTGAAAATCTTTGTAGTTTCTATCTAAAGTTGGTTAAATCAATGTCGAATTGACGTTATACTGACGTCAAATTTCCCTAGAGAAGTATTACTAACCAAACGTAGTAGACTACTACAATGTGGATTTAGGCATAATTTTACCTATTTTGGTCAATAAAACCAAATTTCGACGTCATCTTATTCTCCACTTATGTCAAATCCACGTCGAGATAACGTAAATTTTCCTTAAATATGGTTAAATCTAATTTTGCGACCAAATTTATTATACATATTTTAGGTAGTCTCAACGTCAAATTAAACCAAAATGTTTGCTGGGATCCTCTTAGTTGAGATATTTTGAGAGCAATTTAATCTCTTTTCATCTTTTGGTTCAGATTTAACACCTGTTTCAAGGATACAATTTTTTCTGTATAGTAAAAAAAAAAAACAAAAAATCGGTAAGCAAATTTACTTTAAAGTTGACAGGTCACACGGCAGCTCCCACCATCAGGACATATTACATGTTTGTTGTTCACCTCCGTCCCTTGTACCCAACTGTAAATAACAAGCAAAAAACACGGAGCGCCAGTTTTAGCAATTAGGGTACAGAAATAAAAATTAATAGATTTATGCAAGTCATCAAATCAACATAAGAGGTAAGTGAATTCGTAGTTAGGTTATTTTGGTCAGTATAAACATACGTTTATAAAGTGGTCATGAGAAAAAATTCATGTAAAGCGGACTGAAGTTTTATCCCCATTTTCTTTTGCAGCAAATAATTAAATAGTAGTGGCTTTGTATAGGTCATACATGGCACCTGTTAATTTATCGAACGGATGATAGAAGTAAAACTACTTAGATGAATTGAACTGAAATAAATTATTTTATTTGAATTTATTTAAATTATTTTGAATATATTTAAATTTAATTTATTATAATTTATTCGAATTTATTAGAATTTATTGGGATTTATTGGGATTTATTGGGATGTATTGGGATTTATTGGGATTTATTGGGATTTATTGGAATTTATTGGAATGTATTGGAATTTATTGGAAAATATTGAATTTCTTTGAAGTTATTGGGATTTATCGGAATTTATTAGAATTTATTGGCATTTATTGGAATTTACTCGAAATTATTTAAATTTATTTCAATTTAATTTGAATTTTTTGTCGTATTTTGGAGAAAACCGCCAATAATTTGTAAATTCGTAAAAAATGTATTATCTGTAGGTCGTAAGAGTGTTCCTAATTAAGAAATTTTAAAGACTGATAAAAGTGGTACTTAGTAAGTTGTGTAGACAGTATGTAATTAGTAGTTTGTACAATAAGAGTGGATACGGACAATCCACTCGAATTGTACAGTACATTTTTTTACGACCCACCAACGAAAATTTACAAATTTGAACACCCGGTATGTGCATCAAATAATTTAGCTGATAATTTGAAACAGGAACTTGATCGCTAATATAATTTTCGAAGGGCCGACAAGGATGCGGATATTTTAATGTGGTGGTTTCATAATCAAAATGATTACCCCTCGCTATCAAAAATGGCTTGCGATTTTTTGGGTACTCCGGCCACATCAGTCCCTGCCTAGAGACTGTTTTTAAAAGCTGGCCTCATCATAAGAAATCTTAGTTTCTGAAAAATGATCAATCTTGCAAATTTAGCTATTTAGTTTCTTATTAAAATTTTCAACAAAGTATTTGATACGACTATCCATTCCATCAGAAGAAACACTGCTGAAAAGTGTGTTTGTATATGTGCAGTTTTTAGTCTATCATTCAAAAACTTCATTGGTGGATATCTCATTTTTAAAATTATTTTTTTTCTGCGATAATTAAAACAATCATTTAAGGCTTGGCCAACGCCCTCAGTTTTAAATGGTTTTAAAAAATATACTAAAAGTTTAATATTATGTTAATAGATTACGCTAGTATATCTATTTCGGTAAATTAAATCGAATACAGTGTTTCAAGTAAAAAAATCTTAATGATTATGCGTATCCCTAAAACACCAATAATTTGGCCGATTGTATCGACAATCTGTGAAATTGAATTTCTATAGAATTTTGGTATTGTATTGGTATTATTGAGATGTTGTCAAGTCTAATTATTCATAAGGTACCTATATTAAATAACAGAAATATATAAAAGCTTAAATATATCTAAAATATAAGCAATGTACATTGTGTTATACCTTAGAAGGTTAGTGAAATTCTACAAAACATCAAATAATAAAATTACATATTATAAAAAAAATTGTTATTTTTTTATAATGAATTACGTATAACTTGTTATACTCAGCTTCCGACTAAGGACATATTCTTATTTGAACCGGCAACATTGCTATAGGGAGCGAGGTCAAAAAGGTCAAATGGAAGACGGAGAGATTTCGGTTTGAAAAAGTTGCTCTGCAATTTGAAACAGATACAACATAGCAGTGTTGCGGTTAGGTTGGAAATTTCCCGCTTAGACCGAAATTTTGGTTGTATATACTATTTTTCAAGAATTTTGTTTTTCACTTTTCATCCTTATTGGCTCACACAATGAAGTGTGGCTGACAATTTTGCGAAGTAATCATGTTAATATTCTTCTCTTTTTAATATTTTATTCTATTTACTAGATCACTTAGTTAATAAAAAATAATGAATATATAAGTTTTTATTGTAGCAATTTGCCGTATGCCATCTGCTAATATAGATATTTTTAATTGTCCCTTATATTATATAATATATTAGCATTTATTTAAATTTCTATTAACTAGACCGTTTTTCCAGAAGCGAGAATTTTCAATTCGGCACCACTGTAAATGGTAAATCATGAAATAAATAAAAAAGGGCAGGGGATGGTTAACGACACCCAAAAGGTACCTGAAGGGTTTGTTATTCAGTCAGCCTAATTTCAGTTTTCCTTCTGCTATAGTGAACGGTTTGTTGAGGAATTTGATTATTTATTTATAGGTATATGAATCTAAATTTGCATACTAAATAATAATAATAATGAACTAAATAAAAAAAAAACATCTCATATGAAGAGAACTTTTACGATGACACTGTATATTACAAAATTTATAGATTTTATTACATAAAGTGAAGAAAAGTAGACTTTAAAGCGTCATTTAACTAAATATCTGTTTTAAAAATGAGCATAAATTAAATGTAATATTTTTACAGGCTTCAAATATATTATCTGTTAAAACTCATTTCACATGTAAAAGTTAATCCCCAAGCAGCGAGGTGCCGTCATTATGACGAGATTTTTGGGATGTACTCGTCAGAAACGTCATTATCCCAATTAATGATGTTACTTTGATGTCGTTTTTGCAACGTTAATTAGACGTCAATACAGACTCGTCATTATGACGTAATTTTTTAGTATTTATCTGAAATACAATATCCTAACCAGTAACGTGTATTTGACGTCGCATTGATAACAAGAATAGACGTCACTTAGAATTCCTTATAATTACGTTATTTTTTCGTATATTTTAATACTTAAGTGTTGAATTGTAAAGAACATAATTGGAAATTGCTTCAACTGAAAACACATATATATTAACTTGAATGAGTAAAACCAAATTTGGTAGATTTTCACAAAACTTTTATTTTAAAAAATAAATATTAAAAACACTACACATGACATGTTTCGAAGTACAACTTCTTTTTCAAATGTGACTAATTTACAATTCGGTATCCAATATATATGCGAAATAATTGAACAAAACAAAGTGCTTAAGAAAACATCAATAACATAACAAAATAAACTAACTATTTAAAGTAAATAAGGGTACTTAAGGTAATTATGATATCAATCAAATAACAATAAGATAGTAACATTACCGGGATTATCTCACAGAAAACTAGGAAAGATATTTAATAAGGGTGAGTTATTAATATCTAATTGATCATTGAGTAGGTTATCTGAATTTTTAAATCTATTTATTTCAAGTGTTTCTAAATGGTTTAGTTTATTGCCCTTATTTTCTATATGTAAATCATTCTTTTACAGACAACTTTGAAATTTTACATATAGAAAATAAGGGCAATAAACTAAACCATTTAGAAACACTTGAAATAAATAGATTTAAAAATTCAGATAACCTACTCAATGATCAATTAGATATTAATAACTCACCCTTATTAAATATCTTTCCTAGTTTTCTGTGAGATAATCCCGGTAATGTTACTATCTTATTGTTATTTGATTGATATCATAATTACCTAAGTACCCTAATTTACTTTAAATAGTTAGTTTATTTTGTTATTTTATTGATGTTTTCTTAAGTACTTTGTTTTGTTCAATTATTTCGCATATATATTGGATACCGAATTATAAATTAGTCACATTTAAAAAAGAAGTTGTACTTCGAAACATGTCATGTGTAGTGTTTTTAATTTTTATTTTTTAAAATAAAAGTTTTGTGAAATCTACCAAATTTGGTTTTACTCATTCAAGATAAAATGGATTTTCATCAAGTAAAGGCCGAAACAATAAATAACATATATATTAAGTTTGTTCGAGCTGCATTTTGTAAATTGTTTTTGGTAAAATTACAGTGCCTTATGTTTTGACATGAATAATTAGTAACGTTCCGTTTACTAGCATTAATCATTCAAGATTTTGTTGCCTGTCTCTTTTTAACGTATGGCTAACCCAATTCCGATGTCCTCGAATCTCAAATGGCAATGAGTTTGCTAATCTAGTACAATTGTACTGGATCTAGTACATCCTAAAAGTAACAGGTATGCTAGAAACGAAATTCACTACATTGTCCGCTATTGTCCAGTGTAATTAATATAAGTTAAACTAGTAAAAGTACCGTAAAGACTTAATAAATCCTAAACAAATGATAATATTCCTAAGGCAACCAGAGAGAAAACCGATCCTAGTACATTTTTATGAAATCTGGTACAATTATTTATACCAATCTAGTACTAAACTAAAAAATGTTCTGGCAATGACATATTGTCAATTGTCGTTGTTGTTTCCTGTTTCCTCCATCTCCATGATTCTCGTGACAGTCGTGACCTCGTGCATTTTTAAATTGTACTTTATTTGATAAGACGTTTTAGAAAAAGGTAAAAAATAGAATGTGACAAAATAATAAAGTATATTAAACTGAAGTTGGTATTTTACAGATGTATTGCATTGTTGAATTTGAAAAACCGGATGATGACGGTCTGGCGGTAGTGAGGTGAGCAGAAAATGGCTGCCACCGCGTAAAAAACAAGTCTTTTGGCCACCTTTATAAAGAAATTTATAAGGGACCACCCCTGAGGTACCTCCTTTATAGCAAAAAATAATCATAGACATGGGACAACGTGGTAAAAAATTATCGTTGAACACACATAAAAAAAAGAAAAAATTAGCCGACGAATTGAGAACCTCCACCTTTTTTTGAAGTATGATAAAAAATAAGAAAGGAATTTTTACATCTTGCTAAATTAAAATTAGGCAGGCTGCTGCTTATGCCATCACATTTGACTTGTACTATAACTGTTATTTAAAGGATTGCATAAACTGATTGATTGACCATTTATTCTACAAATACCTAATTTCTTACCTGCTCTTATCCATTTTACAGATCTTTTCATAATCTCTAACGGCATCTTCGTATTCTCCTAGATCCATATAACACTTGGCCCTACGTAACAATGCTTTGATATAAGTGTCATCAAGGCTAATGGCAGCTGTACAATCCTCGATAGCCTCACGTGTTTTGGTCAATCTGGATGATACTGTTGCACGATTAAAGTATAATTTCGCGTTTGTTTTTTTGTTTAGAGGATCGACTTTTAAAGCTTCTGTGTAGAGGTTGTAGGCTTCCTGAAAATTAATAAAATCCATGAGTTAAATTTATCCTAATGGAACGACATTGCAAAAAGATGAGTAGAGAAATATATTGCCATTTACAATACCATATTATGTTAATGATACGAAAATGCATCAAAGTGATGAGCAAAATGACTAAGCTATATGTTTAAAATAAATAGTACACAAAGTTGAGAATTTTTATATCATATATCTTGTAATAGATCATCCTGTAAGAGAATGTCTTGTAGCGGTCTCCAAGGAAATGGATTAGGTTGATGGGTGATGATAATTGTCATAATAAAGAAATTATTAAACTTGACCTAAGCAAAACCTTATTTCAAGAATTATTTAGAAACCCTCTAAATAATTCTATACATATCTTAACATATTCGAATAAATACGCCTGAAAAACCTTTTATGAGTAACTTAATTAGAACAGCCTCCCATGCAATATTTGCATTATTTGTCTTCTTCTTTTTAATACAAGAGTACATGATTTAGGTAAAAAAAAAAACAAAATAAAATAATAAATAAGTTTTCGGACAGTGGCAAAGGTGTTACTTTTACCCATGCCATACGCCACTGAATTTTTAACTTTAACACTGTATTTCGGAAACGAGTAACATTTTACCTAAGCATATTTTGTTTAATCGCCTTATTTTTAATCAGAGACTATTCAATCATTCTTAATGACTCTCTGTATGAGTGAATTTACAATTGAATAAACCAGTCCATTTTTATCAAATGTTCAGGAGAGAAAAAAAAATGTTTCAAGTTGACTAGTCCTAACACACTTTTCAAAAGTGGAAAAGTATATTGCGCATGCGCCAAATTAAATTAACTAATTCGACTGAATTTCTTACAAATAAAGACAATATATGGTCGACTACTTTTCATTGTGATTTTTCATTATTTTTTACTACTTTTCCGGACATGTCCGCCGGACTAGTCCAAAATTTACTTTTCATGAAAAGTCCCACCTGTAGTTTTTAATGTATTAGAAAACTCCCAAAATGGTTACAAAAGAAATATTCCCTAGTTTAATTAAATTGGACGTAGTATAGTACAGATCGAAAGGAATATCAAAAGTCATGTCATGTACTAATTTGAGAAATGACGGAAAGAACGAGTCATGCCGTGTTACCAAATTTATGAGTATTATGTAGTTCTACTTTTGTAAAATATTGAAATATTATAATGGATACACAATTATTGGCGATTTTATAGTGAAGACGCATAAGTTGGAATAAATTCGATATTTTTCTGTCTAACAGTATTTTAACAAAATGCTCTCACAGCCAATTTGTATATTCAACTGTGTGTGTTATGCTACAATTGGATGTAGTAATGACGTCACCACTTTCGTGTACATGACATAATCGATTTTTTTAAATAGAACATTTTTGTCTTCATTTTTGAATTCCCAAATAATAGACGATTACAAAAATGTATGTAATACTTATAGTCCAAAGCCATTGGTTTGTAAATTAGAGACAAATGTTATATCCGAAATTTTGAATCTATTTTAGAGAAATATTTTTCAATTCCTTTTCGAATTCCTATTTATTTAAATTAGGATGTGGTTCAAAGTCCACTCATACTACTTATTGTACCCCTCTCAGTTTCTACCAGGTTAATATACTTGAGGATCTTACTAATATTTCAGTTCAAACATTATGTTTCTATACATGTCAATAACATTAAACAATATATTTTAGGAAGGCTTACCTGGAATTTACAGGCCTTATAAGCCTCATTACCATCCTCCTTCATCTTTTTCAAAGTTCTTGCTCTCTTGTAGATGCCCATGGCTTTCTTGTGGTCGGGAGCCAATCTGAAAACCTGTTGAAAATGTTGGAAGGCGCTATCAAGATTGTCCTCATAAAACAGGCACATGCCTCTAACATATATGGCATCTGCATTGCCCTTATCAATGTGGAGAATGCTGTTGGCGATTTCTTGCGCCTCTTGGAATCGTCCAAGAAAAACGAGACATTCAGCCCTGGTGATTTTATAACGGTTACAAGTAGGAGCTTCATCCAGGCATCTATCCATGCAGAAAACCACTTTTCGGAAATCTCCCTTTTCATAACTTTTAACCGCTTCGGCTTCATACTGCTTGATTTTTTCAAAGGATTTTAATTCGCTGGTTATTGCTAAAAAAATTAGTAGTTGTTTAAATCTATAATGTGTGGGCAAAGGAGTATAAGTCAATACTTTCTATTAGGGTCTCTATTGAACTTCGACTTCATAATATACATTACAAAAATACCTTTTTTTGGTGCGAAAAGACATATAAGATAGATTTACTCAGCTTCTAAATTTTTGACTTATACTCCTTTGCCTACCCTCCTATATTGTTTTATTAAGAGTAAAAGATATACTTGTGTGACTAGTCCGACAACAACAGACGAATAACAGAATAACAAGAAGTACCTATTGCTCCTAATAAAACATATTGTTTTTAAACGAAAATAAAAATACTCAAAATTTGTACCATACAATATTTTTTATTTCAAACGTAAATGGAAGCTATCGGTTTCAGCTTATAGTTACAGAAACCTTAACAAAAAAAGGGACATAGTCATATAAATATTAAGGTTAAGGAAGATCAAAAAAGCTTCAAAGTAGATAGACAAAGTGACCATGGCCTCACATAGGGAATTCAACGTGTAAGAGTGAGAGGTAACCTACGAGATATGGCGTTCACGTAAACGAGGCCATTTTCATCATTTTGCGAAAAGACAAATAACCTACGAGATATGGCGTTCACGTAAACGAGGCCATTTTCATCATTTTGCGAAAAGACAAATAACCTACGAGATATGGCGTTCACGTAAACGAGGCCATTTTCATCATTTTGCGAAAAGACATCTAACCAAACCGCACCATTTTGCCAAAAACGGTCGTTAGACAGCTGCCCGTGGCCCCAGGATTTCGTCGAATAGAATTTTTGCGTAGTGATAAAGCCAAAAGGGCCTTAGCGTATATCTTCACTGCTATTGGTCCGATTCAAACGGGAAAAACGGCATTACGTAGAGATCGGCGTATAGATTAACATACAAGAGAAAAATCATGCGCAATGACAGGACAAAAGGACCTTAGCGTGTATCTCAGCTATCGTTGGTTCGATTTAAATGGGAAAAACGGCATTATGAAGAGATCTTGGTACAGATTACCGTCGAATAGAAAAATCATGCGCAATGCCAGGACAAAAGGACCTTAGCGTGTATCTCAGCTATCGTTGGTTCGATCTAAATGGGGAAAAGGGGGCTATGTAGAGAGCGTGATATAGATTAACATACAAGAGAAAAATCATGCGCAATGATAGGACAAAAGGACCTTAGCGTGTATCTCAGCTATCGTTGGTTCGATCTAAATGGGGAAAAGGGGGCTATGTAGAGAGCGTGATATAGATTAACATACAAGAGAAAAATCATACGCAATGATAGGACAAAAGGACCTTAGCGTGTATCTCAGCTATCGTTGGTTCGATCTAAATGGGGAAAAGGGGGCTATGTAGAGAGCGTGATATAGATTAACATACAAGAGAAAAATCATGCGCAATGATAGGACAAAAGGACCTTAGCGTGTATCTCAGCTATCGTTGGTTCGATTTAAATGGGAAAAACGGCATTATGAAGAGAGCGTGATATAGATTAAAGTTGAAAAGAAAAAATCATGCGCAATGCCATAAGGACCTTAGCGTATATCTTCACTGCTATTGGTCCGATTTAAACGGGAAAAAGGGGGTTATATAGAGAGAGGGGCACCGAAAAGTTTGACGTTTGACGTTTAACGACTGACGTTTCACGTTTGACGTTTCACGTTTGACGTTTACCGTTTTGACGTTTGACGTTCGACGTTTCACGTTTGACGTTTCACGTTTGACGTCTACCGTTTTGACGTTTCACGTTTCACGTTTACCGTTTCACGTTTGACGTTTGACGTTTCACGTTTGACGTTTGACTGTTAGTTTCTGCTAGTATCGAGGGTACAATAACTACTGCTACTACTACAGCTGGGTTGGCCGAGCGTCAAGGTTAACAACCTAGATCTCCGAGAGGAGGCGTATCCTACACCCGACAATATTAGTAAAATAAGTATTCAGTATTGAAATGTCTAGCGAAGAGAATAGACGTAGAATTGAAGAGTTTGGTATAAAAGTTCAAAAACTAAGAAGAGACATAAAATTATATGAAGATAAAAAACAAGTTTTAAAAGACCTATCAAATTTAAGTCTTTGGGAGGATATTGAGAGATATCATCCTAGAAGAATCCAACCGACGCAAATATGACCATCTTAAAGGCTAATTTCATTATACTTACGGCTATATTAAACAACGTACTGTATACCAATGTACCGTTGGGCGTACAACAGATGGCGATACGTTTTGATAATCAAACGGAATGGCGAAAGATGAATTTCTCGGTGGTAAATAATATGAAGCTAAATACGTTTTCCATAGCAATCGATGAAGCAAAGAGATACAAATTAAAATTGATTTTTAATGATGGCACTGAAGGAGAATTCAAAGATTGGCAGACTCCACCACCACCACCGATCGATTTGAGTGACATGTCAGAGCCCAAATGACGTCCTGGCGTCCTGCGTTCCCAGGAAGGGTGCGAATACGACAGCGCCACGACGCCGCACGCAACGGTCGCGAGGCACGTACGCAACGCACGCGACGCACGCACGCAACGCACGCGACGCACGCAACGCACGCAACGCACGCACGCAACGCACGCGACGCACGCACGCAACGCACGCGACGCCGCAGAAATAAAACAACACAGATGTAAAAACGATTTAATATTCAATTGACGTCTGCTGAGAAAGGCATGAAATTACGGATTTCACAAGAAAAAATTTTCTACACACTATACAATATACGTAAAAATCATAACAACTAGACTGTAATAAAACACCCCCAAATGTAAAAACGTTTTAATATTCATTGAGTACTAACAACCTTATGAAATCTCAACACTAACTTTATTTTTGGGGAGTTAAACAAGACCTATGTTCCAGGCGACGTTGACATTGATGCCTTTTTGGTCGGTTAAAGACGAACCCTTCCTCTTAATAACACTGATTTCTAGAGCTTGGAATTAATATTTATTGTTGAGATTGATGACTTATTTTTTTTTTGGGAAAGTTAAATACGTTGTGTACCCTTCCGATGAGCCATGTAGTCATTATTTTAACAAAAAAACAACTGGATAATCCTAGGAATGAGAATTAATATTTAACAACGTTATGAAAACAGAAATTTATTTCAAAGAAATATAAAACACAAAAACTTTTAATAATTGAGTCTCCAAATTTGGTCTTCACTAAGCATCCTCTTAAAATCTTATAAGGGTGGCCTAACTTCAGCTCACTAATTTTAATAATAGGTTTAATTTCTTTCTCACCATTTAAAGAAAACTCATTCAATTTGTCTAAATTCAATTTGTCTAAAGCCATGTTAGAAAATCTGAAAAAATAAAAAATTTTCTTATTCTATGTGTAAACAAGCGACTCGGTAAGAACTTACATTTTTGCTGATGATGATGAAACGCTCGTACTAGTGGCACTAGATGATTCCTGGCTCTTGAACCCAATAGAATAACTAATGGAGAAACTGATAAATTTAAATACCCCAAATTATACGAGAGGTATATTAAAATATAACTATAACTTTCAATAACGAGTACGGCTCTAATCGCGCTACTGACTATTGATGTGGAAATACTCGGGTTTTTATATACCCCCGGTAATTTACTTTAATATTTTTGGTAGCTACAAATTAATAACTCGGTGTTTACGCGAAGGTTGTTTTTCGTAGAATTATGACGTATAGTTCCGGTGTTTGTTTACAGGTTCAAGAGAATAACACTTCAAATATGAGTCCTAAAATATTATAATTTTAAAGAAAACTCAAAGGGTTAATAAAAAATAACTAAAGTTATTCTTATAAATACTATTTTAGTGGTTTTTCAATAAAATTAGGAAAGCGAATAAAAAATTTCATTTAAAATTCCTTGAGAAATAAAAAGCGAAGTTTGAGAAATAAAAATCATGTAAAAATTACATACGCACTTAGAAAAATTCGACTTAAATGCTACAATTTAAAATTCTTTGCGGTTAAAAATTCATCTTAAAGCCCACAAAAATACGGTTCGTAATTTAAAATACTAAAAAAGCGCCAAAGACCTACATGACAAATTCATTCTTAGCGGGTTCGACTGGGTCTCGTAAATATGAGGCCTAAAATATTATAATTTTAAAGAAAACTCAAAGGGTTAATAAAAAATAACTAAAGTTATCTGAAAAATTTTAAATTCTTCTTAAGTCACTATCTAAATTTGACGAGATGATTCATATTTTGCGTAAGGGTTAGTGGTTACGCAACCATTAAGATAACCACAGGTAAATAAGATAAAAAAAAAGAATTGTACCATAGAAGCGAGTCATTGATAACGAGTCATTCAAGTAACCGTAATAACAGATTTACAATAATTTAAAAACAAATTCTGTTTCAGACTGGATGTAAACTTTCTCAAGATGAGCACGCCGTTTTTTATTCGGGTGTGTATGTAGGTTCTAGAAAAAAATAATTCTTATTTTTCGGGCTCACACAAATATGTTTACGTATTTTTTATTCGGGCGGTGTATCCATGTTCTAGAAAATAATTCCTATTTTTCGCGCTCACACAAATATGTTTACGTATTTCGCGGTTAAAACCACAATACCGTGGGCTGGTTATTTTTAGAAAATACTGGATATATTGATTTAAAATATCGAACAATAAAATCTGGTATTCACAATTTGGTAATAAATTTAAAAAAGAATGCCCTATTTATTCGTTAAAATAATACTAGTTTACAAGGTACAAAACCAGCATTTTACTGGAAGAGTAGCTAAATTCCACGGGTAGGTGTGGAAGCGTGCGAGTCCGACGACTATTGAATTGGCGATTCGCGCTCTCCAAAAGCGTATTCTTTAACGTTTAAACACTTAGAAAAAATCATCTTAAATGTCCCAAAAATCATTATCACTCCTTAATTTAAAATACTAAAAATCAAATAAAAATTACAGTATTCATTGACGTTTAACCACAAGTCGACTTGAATGTTAGTTTAAATTCTTTGACATGTAAATTTTTGATGTTTAAAGACTTAGAAAAATTCTTCGATGTTTAAAGACTTAGAAAAATTCGGGTCAAATGTTACAGTTTAAATTCTTTGCGGTGTAGAAAAATTCTTTGACGATTAAAGACTTAGAAAAATTCAACTTAAATCCCACAAAAATCATTAAGTATTCTTCTCAAAATCAAGTAAAAATTCATAGTTCCTCAATTATTCGCATGGTATGGTAGATCAGCTTAGAAAATTTCGCCTTAAATCTCCCAAAAATCATTATCCCTCCTTAATTTAAAATACTAAAATAAGTATTTGATAATTTAATGGGCATCGAAAAAATTTAAGCAGAGGCACTATCCAAACAAAAAATTTCTTTTATTTTTTATTGGTACAAATATGGAAATCTTAAAAGGAAAAAAAATAACTTTCGTTTTCAAAGGTTGGACCTCCGAAACTTTACAAAAATAATCGTATACGAAGTTAATGTAGACAATTTAGCAATGATCTAGGAAAAGCAGTAATTAAGGACCATTTAAAAGTTAGATCTAATATAAAAGAACTTTCACATGATCTAAAATCTATTATAAATAATATTCGGGGACGAAAACAGAGGGTACAACAACCAAACGAAGTGGGACCTGAACGAATATCAAATGGTACGCCAATGATGTCTGTCAGTTTTTTGTGGTTGTGATAATTAATGATTTTTTAATTTTGATATTTTGTACCCTTTGGTTTTCTTATAAATAGTACTGTAGTAGGATCGATTGTTTTAGTATAGATCTTACTTATTAAATTTGAATAAAAAAACTAAACGTCAGAATTGACATATTTCATATCAATTTTATTGCGTAATCAAATACCCGACGATAGTAAAAGTGTAACCAAAATCAACGATAGTACTTGAGGGTTAAAGTCGTTGTTAAGTTATTTATTTAAAATTATAGGCTTACATTTTGTTTAGACAATCAGGGGGTAATATGCGAGTAAAGCGAGAAATGAGAACCCCAAATTTATGATTATATTTTCAACAAGAAAAATTCGAACATTACCGCCATAAAAAATACTGTATCTAGATACAATATTTTTTAAGATGCGATGTTATCATCTTTTGAGATGTTTAAATGATGGTTTCAAAAGAAAGGATGTAACACGCATAGTAATAAGTTTTATTACTTAAAGCTATTCTTTTTGCAAAAATTACGCTCTACAACAAAGTAGCTTCCTATGAGAAAACAACCGGGGAACGACCTCGAATCATGGGTTCTAGAAAAAATATGAAAATAACCGGGGTGACATTGGTTAACCATAAAGAAAAATACCACGATTACAGGTGTATATATACCTGGTTAATCCGGAAAAATAATTTTAAACAAACACGGTTGTCAGTGATACAGTATTTGAGAATACTCGAAACAAGCTTGAAAGTGTTGTGACGTGTAATTCCTACCCTCTTTAAAGGTAATTTTACTTTTTCACTCTTAGTATTTAATGTAATTATTCTTGATTTAAATAGATTTTGGGTGTAAGGTATTATTTCTTACAATTATTTTCTATTATTAGATACTAACGTCGGATCTCCACCAAAAGTATTAATAGGACTCAAGATTAGGCGTGAAGCCGCATCCTCCTACATCTTATAGAACTGAAACAGCCCTTACTTTGAAAAGATTAGAAGTAAGTGTTTCACATTTTATAACTGTAATTATCGTCCTTTCTCTAAAGCACACCGCCCAATTAATTTCAAAAACTAAAAGCTAATTTTTCTTGATTTAAATAGATTTTGAGTGTAAGGTATTATTTCTTACAATTATTTTCTATTATTAGATACTAACGTCGGATCTCCACCAAAAGTATTAATAGGACTCAAGATTAGGCGTGAAGCCGCATCCTCCTACATCTTATAGAACTGAAACAGCCCTTACTTTGAAAAGATTAGAAGTAAGTTTTTTAACATTTTATAACTGTAATTATCGTCCTTTCTCTAAACCACAGCACCCAATTAATTTCAAAAACTTAACCAAAAATCTATTGAATTTTAAAAAATTATGTAATTATTTTTATTAGAGAAGGATCAAAAATCTTTCTTAGGTAGTAGGTTCGTAGGTCTTCTGAAAAATTGTATGGCTTTTAACCTTTTAATGAATGAGCCCGTATAAAAACCTCCAAAAGTGTAATTTGTTTGCTCTATATAATTTCCATTCAAAGGTATTGACCTAGTCAACAACGTTTTAACCGGGGTTATTGACAACGCTTTCGTTTTATAATAATTGAATACCAACGGTTATCACTTTCTGATAAAACGTGTAAAGTTGTAAAATCAGCTGTTAAATATTTTATTATGATAAGCGACTGTTTTATTTAAAAACGTTTTTATACGGTGTAAATCATTTAAAATAATATTTATATCGGATTTTCTATTATTAACATACATATAAATTTGGTGTATTAATCCCTCCTTAGAGTAGACGGCTCGGGTAAAAGAACTATTGCTTTTTTCTGTAACAAAAATAAAGAAGAATTAGAGCTCTTAAAAAATTTAATTTCAAAGACCTACCATTCAAAACAAGTAGAAAATTTAAAATTAATGAGAATAGGAATCATGTTCAACTTTATTAGTAGAAAATAGAAAATCGTTTTAATTCAAAGCCAGTACAAAGATTAATGATGTAAAATTTTTGACATAGGGTAAAAGTAATTACCTCGGGTTCTTGAGGGTATGACTCTTAAACATCCCTTACCTCCTTCGTAATTTTCTAGACCAGAATAAAATAGTGGGAAAAGGTAAAAATGAAATAAAAATTATGCTTCCCCAGTTTTTCTATTTATATTTACTTTTATTCAATTACTATTTACAGGAAATAGATTTTAAAAACAATTTTTACTAGTTCTAACTTATATGTCTGTGGGGGTCGTTGTTTTTAACGTTAAACTCAGAAGGTGATAAATCGTTGGTAGAGTTGTTATTATTTTACATGATCGAATTATTCAACCCGTATGATATTTGTAAGGCCTCTTTCGGCTCTCAAAATTTCGACAAAGCTCTTGCGAAAAAATTCAAGAATTGATATATTCAATTTTTTAGATATGGATGACTTGCAATTTACACGTTTACAAACTTTCACCAAGTGGCCTCTATATTTAAACTCAAAGCTTATTCTGCTTGCAGCCGGAGGTTTCATTTATTCCGGTACCGGAGATAGATGTATTTGGTATGATTTGCGGGTTATCTTTGAAAAATTGGAAATCAAGCGATATTCCGATTGATATCCACATGAAAAAGAAACCAAACTGTCGATTTATTAGTAGTTTCAATGAATTACAGAAAATGAAATTTTATCATGAAAGATTAAAAACGTTTTTAAATTACTCCAAGAAACCTAATATAGATCCATGTCGGTACGTAAGTGTTGGCTTTTATTGTAAAGATGATGAGATGAGATACATCACTTATAAAGATTTTTCAAAGTATGTAACAAGATTGGAGTCGTTTAAAAATAGACCTGTGCAAACCCATTCCACTTAAAAAAGTGAATCCGCACGCTGCTTCTAGAGAAGGGTTTCTGTACTCAGGTGTCGATGCCTATATTATTCATGAATCTAGATGTGATTTTATATCAGATAATAATAATTCCGATGATAATGATGAAAATGATCGTCTTCTGTGTAAAATTTGTTTAGAAGCCGAAATAGACGCGGTGTTTCAGCCCTGTGGCCATGCGGCCGCATGTATAACTTGTGCAACGAAAATAAGAGATTGCTGTATTTGTAGATGTAAATTAGAAGCTAGTATACGAATTTATATTTAAATCACCAAAAAATTAAATCATTTTTATCTTAGTTTAAATCACTCGTATCGTTTTTAGGACATCGACGAAATTTGGGCTGATTTTTAGTTTTAGTTTTCCTCCGTAACTAGATATTTAATATGCACATCAAATACATAATCGATGTTGATGGTTTTACCGTAAATAATAAATTTAAAGTAAAAGAATTAGGTTTTTACGATCGTGACCATGAGGAGCTGGATTTAAAATATTATCGAGTAGGTGAATACTCTCTTTTGTCGATCAAAGATCAATTTCAAGCGCGTTGGGTAAAAAATCATGTTCACGGGCTGGAATATAAAGATTTCCCCGGTGATGAACCGGAAGAAAATATTCATTATTTATTATGGGGGGTAGCAAAAGACGCTATTAATTCTGGGTCGTACATCGGTTATAAGGGTGGGCAATACGAAGCTAATCTTTTAAAAAGGCTCGGGTTTTCAGAAGTGGCTGTCAATATTGAAACCTTCGGCGTGAAAAAATTTAGCGAGATCGTTGCTGAATACCCGGATTTCCTAGAAGATTCGGTTTGTATGAGACATTCCTTGGTGATAGACAAAAAGTCGAAGCAATATACAACTCCTCATTGTCCGCGATTAGAAGTTTTATGTTTTCATAAGTATTTGAAAATGTTAAATATCTAATTTTGGATAGTTTTAAGAATTTTTATCTTTCTAAAAAATTAGCAATATGGATAGTTTACTTATTTTAAAAAAGACTGTAAGGGTTGTAATATGTAAATATTGTAGTAAACCACTAATAAACTCAAAGACCTATTTTAAACATCTTAAATCACATTTCCGCTGCGGGTTATGTAAAATCAAATTTGTCTCGGAAAATAGATATCTCAACCATCGTTGTAAATTTAAAGAATATTGTCACGTGCGACTAGAAATAATGTGATTAAAATTGAATCGAGCAAGTGTTTTGTGCGTTTACTTAATTTTTATAATTTGCGGTTTTTATTATTTTTCAGTATGTCGTGGCATTTAAAGAGTGTAAGCGAAGACCGATTCATTCAAAAATTTCAATTATATTTATCGACTTTTCAACTTACTACCAAACAAACCACGAACAATTCGCTTAATATAAACAATTTACGAACGGTTCTAGAAGAAAAATTAAACACCGTAAAGACTCGAGCGGGTTTTTACCAGGCGACCGTCTCCGGCTAATAGCTAGTAATTCAAAATTCAATCATCCTATTTCAACTGAGACTGGTACAAATATAAATTTTAATAAATTATTGGATCAAATTGAAAATATTTTGACTTCAGATCAGAACGTTAATATTAATGGAACAATTTTTGATATACAGCTTTTTAAAATACCCTGGTGTTTTGGTCGTACCAGAAAAATTCTCAATTTAACGAAAGATAGACATGCAAAAAAAGTATTACTGTAATTAAAAATCATGATAATCTTTGCGCGCTGCGATCGATAATAACGACCCTTACTTACCATTCTAATGATATATTAGGTAATGAATTATCACCACGACAAATAAAAAACATTAGGGATAATAAACCTATTCAAAGACGATTAGCTTTAGAACTATGTGAGACGTTAGAATTTAATACTAACGATGGTTTTTCTTTGGAGGATTTCGAAAAGGTTGAAAAGTTCTTAGATGTTCAGATTAAAATCATTGATTCTGAAAACTTTAATCAAGTCATATACGCGGGTGTTGAGCAAGCAATAAAACTATGTTTATATAAAGATAAAAATCATTATGACGTCATAAACAGCTTAACAGGCTTTTATAATAGAAGTTACTATTGCCATCGCTGCGATATTGGTTATAACACAAAAAATAGACATAAATGTAAAACTCCTATTATCTGTCCTTTGTGTAAGCTTTCATCTCATGATTTAACATCGAGAGATAAAAAATACTGTAACGAATGTAATAGATTTTGTTACAATGATACATGTTTAGCTAACCATCACACAGTTTGCTCTACCGTTTACAAATGTACAGGGTGTAAAAAAATTATAAGTAGAGAAAAGTATCATAAATGCGGATTTTCGATTTGTCATAATTGTTTGAAGGACGTTGAAACAGCTTCTCATAAATGTTTTATACAAAAGAAAGAAAGTAAGGGCGGCCTTTGTAAGATAATATGTGAATGCAACACAAACAATGCCCCGTTAAATAAAGGATGTTTGTACAAGGAAAGTTCTAAAGAGCCTATTATATGTAAAGAACCGTGTATATGTAACGACCGTTCAGATAAGAAAATATCACGCTGTACTTACAACGAAAAATATATTTTTTTCGACTACGAAGCTATGCAAAATACAGGAATACATATTCCAAATCTTGTGATAGCTCAAGATTTTCACGGTAACAAATTCACCTTTAAAGATAATACAGCATTTGTCACCTGGTTGATCTCCCACGAGCACCAGGGGTATACGGCGATAGCCCACAATAGTAAAAGTTATGACTCATACTTTATTTTAAAGTATTGTGTAGAAAACGGAATTAAACCGTTTACAATCTACAACGGGTCGAAATTAATGCTTTTAGAAGTACCTTCTATAAAACTAAAAATCATTGACAGTTCTAATTTTGTTAGTGGGCCCTTATCAGATTTTCCAACTACCTTCGGGCTCAATGAAAATAAAAAAGGTTTCTTCCCCCACTATTTCAATATACCTAGTAATCAAAAGTACGTAGGACCAATTCCAGATGTTAAATATTACGGCGACTATACGATGAAACCTAAACAAAGGGAGATTTTTCTCAAGTGGCACTCTGAACGTGTAAGTGAGAATTATATCTTCGACTTTGAGGCTGAGCTGGAATCGTACTGCGCCAGTGATGTTGACATATTAAGACGTGGATGTATAGCTTTTCGAAAGGAATTTCTTGAAATAGCGAATATAGATCCCTTCAATATTTAACTATTGCTTCAGTCTGTATGGCGATATACCGGTCAAAATACATGCCTACTGACACCATAGCTATTGATGAAAATGACAAAAAAGATACTTACAGTAAAGCATCAATCGCGTGGCTTAGGCAGTTTTCAAATGTTAGACACGCTTTAAATGGTGGGGAAGTTACGATTTGCGGGGCCAAAGTAGACGGCTTTGATGAAAATACAAATACAGTGTATCAGTATCATGGTTGTTTTTTTTTCACGGTTGTAAAAAAAAAATGTTACAATCCCGATACTATCAATAAACTAAATAATGAGACAATGGATGATTTATACAAAAAACTACTGACTCTATTGTTTATATTGATGATGGAACAAATACAGTCGAAACAGGGGAAATGTTAGGGGATTGGTCTAATGAATTAGGTGATAATGAATATATTATTGAGTGGGTGTCTACGGGTCCTAAAAGCTATTTTTTTAAGACTAACAAAGATCGTGAAGTTACTAAAATTAAAGGGTTTACGCTCAGTTATGAAAATAAAGAAAAACTAAATAGTGAATCTCTAAAAGCAATTATACTTGATAAAACTGATTCGGTTACATTAAAATTTGATCAAATTTGTAGAGATACTAAAACAAAAAATATTGTCACGAAAAAACGAACGACAAAAACTTTTAAAATGGATTACAAAAAACGCCGTATTGAAAATGATAATGATGATTTTATCGACACCCTGCCTTGGGGGGCTTGTTTCAAAGAAATATAGGGTACAAATTCAACTATGTAAAAATATTAGCTTTTTGAGGCGAAATGAAAACATATTTTCCTTTAGTTTTTACAGGAAAAATGACTGATGTACCGTCTTCCGTAATTGACAAAAATGATTTATTTTCGTGGAGTATTCATTCATTATTTGAAGATCATTTAGACTTTGCTCAACCTATTCTGATTGACTTAACCTGTTACGAATCAATGAATTTTTTATTCTGTATTGATTGTAAAAATATAACCTCGTGTAGTTGTTATGATTTTTACGTATATTGTATAGTGTGTAGAAAATTTACAATTCATGAACTATAAATTAAGTTTTTCTTGTGTGTGAAATCCTCCGAAGAATAAAACCTTTAGATTAACTAGACCTTTTATTTTTAGCTATTAAAGATATTTCCACATATCTTATTTTACTTTGGAAAGTTAGTATTCATTGTTAGATTCAGATCAAATAAAATGAATGATAATATAAAAATATTTTATGGTGAGGCTGGCCTACGAAAGATTTCTCGATTTTTAATAGAAGATGATGATTTAATGGTCGGCGCATTTATCGCGCAGTGGGCGGTAGAAGAACGCAAATGCTGCTTCATCTACTACGAATCAGAAATTCCTGTAGCTTTTATTCTTTTATCTGATTTAGACTATGACCCACTTAATGGACATCGTCGACCTAGATTACTAAATTTCATTTACACATCACCTCCATATCGAAGAATGGACTATGCGTCTAAATTGTTGGATTTTACTAGAAGTATCAATATACGGTTTACGGCTTTTTGTTCAAATACGATTTCCGAAAACTTGTTTAAAAAAAAAGGATTTCTGTATAAACCATATGCTAACGGTTCAACAATGTTTAGAGCTCCTGACGACTTGTGAATGGTTTGTTTGTTAAGACTGTAATGTAATGTAATCTTTATTGCTAATTTTGAGTTGTAACCTGTAAAACACACAAGTCTCTCTTATTATTTAAGCTGTAAAATCTCACTTCCCATTTTTGTAAAATGTTTGTAAGAGTTGAAAAAATTATCATCCTAGACTAAACATATATTTTATTTTTTAGCTATTGAATGTTTGAGATATTGCCGAGTATCTTATTCTTATTACTTGGATCACTGGTGCTTATTCTTCGTTACAGACGTAATAAAATGAAAAGTCATATAAAAATATTTTGTGGTGGACGAGGCGCAAAATTGATTAATGGGTTTCCCCTAGAAGAAGAAGAAGACCGTTTAATGATTGTTTTATTATTTATCAATCCGTGGCTAGTAGTACATAAAAAATCCTGTTTTATATATTACGAATCAGAAATTCCTATAGCCTTCATGCTTCTGAGTGATGTGAACCATGACCCGTTTAATCGAGAACCTCAACCCATATTTTTAAATTTCATTTACGTAAGACCTGAATATCGCCGAATGGGCTATGCGTCTAAGTTGTTAGTTTTTGCTAGAAGATCAAATATTCGATTAACATCGTTTTGTTTAACTAATGCGTCTGAAAAATTGTTTAAAAAGCACATGTATCTCAATAAAGGATATCTTAACGGCATTACAATTTGCGTGTCGCATGATTACTCGTAAATAATATATCTTTAGTCTAGGACATTACAAATTAATTTTGTTGATAAGTTTCTGATATTTTTCAATATATTTCTGTTTGCACTAAATGAACCTATATTTGATAATTATCTTTTCATTTCAAAGCTGCTTACAAATTATATAAAAAAAAAATGCAATTTTGATAATACGTTTCTGATATTTTTTAATGTATTTCTCTTTGAAACGATCTGTTGCTATATTCGAAAATAAATATATCTTTTTTGGGAAATTACCAAGTGTTTTATTTTATTTTCAGATTGAAAACCCAAAATGTGCTTCTTACGTTGTGTGAAATGTTATACGCCGTTTGAAATAAGCGCTGAAGCTCTAATACACGGTGGGTTGTGTCTCTGCACTAATTCATTCATATTTTTCACATGTCCGTTTTGCTCAAACACTGAGTCTAATACATGATTTTTACGTATATTGTATAGTGTGTAGAAAATTTTTTCTTGTGAAATCCGTAATTTCATGCCTTTCTCAGCAGACGTCAATTGAATATTAAATCGTTTTTACATCTGTGTTGTTTTATTTCTGCGGCATCGCGTGCGTCGCGTGCGTTGCGTGCGTGCCTCGCGTCCGTTGCGACCGTTGCGTGCGGCGTCGTGGCGCTGTCGTATTCGCAGCCTTCCTGGG